GCAAAAAAAAAAAAAAAAAAAAATTGGGCTGCCCATCACGATGCCCTAATAAAATTGGAGACTCCCCAGGCTATGATTTTCAAATCTTATGGGGGCTCAGCTCCCTCCCCCCCAACCCCTGGCTCCCCTAATTGAACCCTGACTACTTGCTATCCTTGCAGTAGCAGGACACTGACAATGGCCTTGTTCTCCACTTTACCTGCACCATGTTTCAGTATTTCTGGTATTTTGGGGCACTGCAGTCTGTCTGTTCATGTAGTTGTCAATGTCCAGCCTCTCCAGGTGTCTAACCTATTCTTTCAAGTCAGTGGGCCCAGACGGAATGCACCCAAGAGTGCTAAGAGAGTTGGCTGACATCACAGCACAGTCAATGGCAAGGATATTTGAGAACTCATGGCACTTGGGAGAGGTTCCTGAAGATTGGAAGAGGGCCAATGTGGTGCCTGTCTTCAAGAAGGGAAGGAAGGAAGGTCCAGGGAACTATATGCCAATCAATTTGACCTCAATCCCTGGAAAGATCTTGGAAATAATTATTTAAAAATCCATCAACAACAGTCTAATGGAAGGCAACATTCTGAGAGAGAGCCAACATAGCTTCATTATGGGCAGGTTGTGTCTGACCAACCTCATTTCCTTCTATGACCAGGTGACACATCACCTGGATAGGGGAGGAGAGGCTAATGTCATTTACTTTGATTTCAAAAAAGCCTTTGACTTGGTCTCCCATGATGTCCTCATGGTAAAATTGTGGAGCTGCAGCCTTGACAACCTTACGGTCCGGTGGCTGGGGAACTGGCTCCATAGTCGGACCCAAAGAATGATTGTTGATGGAGTCTAGCTAACATGGTACATGGTGACCAGTGATCTGGATTTGGTGTCAGAAGCAGACCGGCTAATTTCTCAGATGACACCAAATTATGGGGAAGCACGGTCACTCTAGAGGATACACTGGGGATTCAGGCTGACTTGGACAGTCTTGCAAGGTGGATGGATCAAACCTGATGACATTCAACATAGAGAAATGCAAGGTGCTCCACCTTGGGAGAAAGAACCCACATCATACCTATAGGCTCAGCAGTGCTACACTCATTGGCACATGACCGAAAGAGATTTGGGGGTCATGATTGACCACAAGATGAATACGAGCCACCAATGCAATGCCACAATGAGCCATGCAAATAAAATCCTCAGTTGCATCTGCAGATGCAAGGTTCTCCACCTTGGGAGGAAAGACCTGCACCATGCTTATAGGCTTGGCAGTGCTATGCTGGTTAGCACTACAGATGAAAGGGACTTGGGGGTCATGAGTGACCACAGGATGAACGTGAGCCTTCAATATGATGCTGTGGCTGGTAAAGTGAGCAAAACGCTGGCTTGCATCCATAGATGCTTCTCAAGCAAATCCAGGGACGTCATTCTCCCATTGTACTTGGACTTGGTGAGGCTGCAGCTGGAGTACTGCATCCAGTTTTGGGCTCCACAATTCAAAAAGCTTAAGAGAGTGCAGAGGAGAGCCACACATATGATCAGAGGTCAGGAAAACAGACCTTATGATGAGAGGCTGAGAGCTATGGGACTCTTCAGCCTAGAAAGCGCAGGCTCAGGGATGATCTGGTGGCCACCTATAAGTTTATCAGGGGTGCTTGCCAGGATCTGGTGGAATGTCTGTTCACCACAGCCCCCCAAGGGATGACAAGATTGAATGGTCACAAACTCCGCTGCGACCATTTCAGGCTGGACATAAGGAAGAACTTCTTTACTGTCCGAGCCTCCAAGGCTTGGAACAGACTGCCACTGGAGCCAGTTCAAGCACCCACTTTGAACGCCTTCAAGACACATTTGGATGCTTATATTGCTGGGAACCTATGACCCCTGCTGAATTCCTGCCCACGGGGCAGGGGACTGGACTTGATGACCCTCCGGGGTCCCTTCCAGCCCAAATGTCTATGAAATCAAGCAAGACCCAAGATGTCATCTAGGGGTGTACAAAACAGGCCCTGTTTGATTTGGATTCCGATACAGCCTGAATCGGGGACAGCGACTCGATTCTTTGATTTGGATCTTTGTCCCCGATTCACTTTGGCTGAATCCAAATCTGAAGATTTGATGCTGATTCAGAGAATCAGTGATTCAGACATAGACACAGCTTTAAATGTTTTTTCTACATACCTCGAGGTACCAGGCGTGACTCGTGAATGCTGTGATGGTGGGGTGGATGGAGCATCCCACAGGAGTGTGGCCCCCTCCCCCCCCCTCCATGTTCTTGGCGGTGAAGCCAGAAGTGGACCAGAAGTACTTCTGGTCCACTTCTGGGTCCACTGCCGAGCACACGGGGGACCCCCTTGCTCCTCTCTGCCTTGGTGATCAACTGGCCCGGGTGTCCTCCCAAACCCAGGAGGCACCAGTCACTGAGCTGGAAGGGCATGGGGGGGCCCTTCCAGTACTTCTGGTCTACATCTGGGTCCGCTGCTGAGCATGCTGGGGACCTCCCCTGTGCTCCTGTGGGATGCTCCATCCACCCCGCCATCTCAGCATTCATGAGTTGCCTGGTACCTTGAGGTATGTTGAAAAAACATTTAAAGCTGTGTCTATGTCCGAATTGTTGAATTTTTCGAAATCTCTCTGAATTGATTCAGAGGGTTCTGATTCAATTCAGAGAGAGTAAAGGGTCTCCTGATTCAATTTGGATTTGGAGATTTGGCTGCTGAATTGAATCAGTGACCAAAGCTTCACACAGCCCTAATTTCATCCTCTCACTTTACTCAGCCTTGGTGAGGCCACAGCTGGAGTACTGCATCCAATTCTGGGCTACACGCTTTAAAAAGGATGTGGAGAAGCTTGAGAAAGTCTAGAGAAGAGCCTCATGTATGATCAGAGGTCAAGAGAGCAGGCCTTATGAGGAGAGGCTTAGAGGCATGGGACTCTTCAGCTTGTAGAAGCGTAAGCTCAGGGTGGCCCTGTTTGTTCACCAGGGCACCCCAAGGGATGACAAGGTCAAATGGTTACAAATTGCTGGAAAACAGTTTTAGATTGAACATAAGAAAAAACTTCTTTACCATCCAAGTCTCCAAAGTCTGGAATAGACTCCCCCCAGAAGTGGTGCAAGCACCTATTCTGGACACATTCAAGATGTGGTTGGATGATTATCTTGCAGGGTGATCTGATCCCAGCTGAGTTCCTGCCCTTTGGACCTGATGATCTCATGAGGTCCCTTCCAGCCCTAACGTCTATGAAATCTATGGTTATTTCAAACAACTTATTAAAGATATTTCTCCTTATTTTTGCTTAACATGGACCATTTGTGAGGAAACTTCTCTGTTTCCATGAACTCATTATGCATAATTTTTGGATGCAGTATTTATGCAGGTACATTTTGGTTTATAGGGCATTTGCAAACTCCTCGTTTCAGTTCCTCACTTCTTTATTACTCTGGTTGTATGATTGGTTGTTTATGTTACATGGTATGAATTCACTTTCCTGACTGAATGACCAAAACAAAAAGGAAGTGCTCATTTATGATGAAGATGATGAGACAGATAGATTTAGACGTACGCTCTTATTTGTGCATGAACATTTGTGTTTTTATGGAAGTAGGCACATTAACACAAAGCACAGTTCCTTGAACTTTTGCAAACAGCTGTGAAAGGAGAGCAGCAAGACAGTTCAGCCAAAACATTGCATTGAGAATTCCAATGCATGTTCACAAATGCTGCTTTTGCAATATTCAAGTACCTCCCCATGCATTTATCTTTAGAGGTAAAATTCACCCCTTTGTAGATGGCTGGAACCAATATGGTGCAGCAGTCAGGCTAAGCCATCATGAGCTTAAGTGATGTGTACATTTTGCAGAGGTCCTTTGCCCAGGGGTGAATTTCAGCTGGAAGCATTTAGGCGTGTACCAACAATGAGATAGTTTGATTGGTTGAGCATGCTCCACATTAAACATTTAAATGGTAGGTATTGTTAAGATGTTTCCATCTTCCATCTGGCTTATTCAAAATGCTGTTTTTCTTGCACTCCATGCTTCTGTGATTAATCAGTTAACAGCTCTTTCCCCCAAATGTAGCCTGAAAGTAAATTTACCTGTCAAGATAAAATGTAGGGCATGATCCTACAAATCTTTACTCATAGGAATTGTATTTATTCAGGAAGGAGCTGATTCAAAACCCGTGAAAAGGTTGAAAGACGCCTTTGGATTGTAATGGACTTTGGATCACAGACCATGGGTAGTACCATTGAATTCAAAAGGGCTTCTATTGAGCACGAAGAGTACACAAGTAAATAATGTTTGACATTCTTGTGCCTTAATGGGAAAGCAGGAAAAAAAACATTGTGGCTTCTCTGAGGTTGCGGTGCTTTGGAGAATTTGGCAAGGATTTTTTTTTTAAGCTAAGTGACAGAGTAGAGAGAGGACATCCTGGGTTTGGTTTGTTCCAAGCTGCATGGTTATCTATACATGACGGCACTTGAAATGTCTTAAGATCCATTCATGGCCCCTGAGCATCCTATCACAAGTCTACATCTCTTCCTTGCCCCTGGTCTCACTGAATATGGAACAGTTGATCATCAACAACATCATCATGACCAAGAAAGCACAGTGAATCAGGAGTTAAAACAGCTGAAGACTACTAAAAACAGGCTGTTTGAAGTCAAGATTTTGGGGACCTAAAAACTGCAAGACTGGATCAGTCCCATGGTCTCTTTAGTCCAGTAAATAGTTTGCAGTAATAGTCATAGTCTCATAGTAGCTAGGGTCAGGAGGGACCTGAACAGATCATCTAGCCTGACCCCCTGCC